AATAGCACGCTAACGATGTCATCTACCATTTGTGAGCCCGATATGGCAAAAAAGATGACAATGATAAAGAGAAGCGAGCTCAGCGCAAGTGGTCCGATGGTATTGGCGAACTTCGTGTACTTATCTTTACCCAGAACTCTTTGCCCTATTACCCAGGTTCCAAATCCAAGCGCGAAAGGAATACCAAGGTAGATCGCGACACTCTCGAATACTAAAAGGAACGACTCTCCCGTAGAAAGATCAGCATTAGTGTCACTACTGATACCGATAGCCGGTAGAAAGATTTGGATAATCAACAGTTCGTACACGGAATATAGTAGAATTTGTAGTACACTATTTATCAGTACCAGGGTGACAACCAGGTCCATCTCTGCACCCGCCAACTCGCACCAAACTAGTACCATCGCAATACAACGGGCAATACCAATCAACACAAGTCCTTGCAGCAGTTCTGGGTGGTTGTGCAGTACTGCCAAGCCCAAAAACGTCATCAACCATGGATCCACAAACCAGTTCAAACCGACTGACGTTAACACCGCCTTGGGCTGCTTATAGATCTGACCTACACGTCCGTAGTCGACTCGCATCAGAGGTGGGTACATCATCACAATCAGGCCAATGGCCAAAGAGATGTTTGTGTCTCCACCTATTGTTGCACCCGATAAGAAGTCCGACATCCCCGGAATGTATGATAACCCCTTGCCAAGACCATCCAAAGGGTCAACAGCCGATCGACCCAACCCAACTTTTCAAATTGAATTGACATATTTTATGTTTTCTAGAGACAACTATAAAGCAATTCTCTTGATTGTTTAAGACATATATTTTAATGTCTGTTTTCCAACGAAACACTCGGTATATATATGGATATAACATAAATTTTCAATACTCATAGTAAATAGTTTGCTGTCGTATAAACGGTGTAAATACATCAATAGCTTCTAATAGTTGATGTTTTTGATTCACATGTCCATATCCGGCAATTTGTTTTATTTAATAT